TAAACAATAATCATATTCACAAACTTCAAGTTAAGTTTAAAAGATTCTGCCCTACTTCTGAAAAGCATCCACATTAAAAATTAAAAAATCACATGCACAAAGGTTAACACACTTTTGTGTTGCCTGTCTTTATATGAGCTATGATTTCACCCAACACACATTTAAGCTTACCTTATACAGAGACTTGAAAATGTTATTAGCTAAAATATGTGTAGAATCTTTCAGCGCATGTTGGTCCCTTGTGACAACATACTGTTACAGAACTTGCAGTCATAAAAAGCTCACCTCACTGAAAGGTGGAAAAGTCACCCTTTTATACCCTCTCTCTGTGGTTTCTGCGTTAGCATTCACTTAGATCCCCATTTAAGCTACAGAGCATTTCAAAGAGCAGCTGTTTCTTTGAAACACAGCAATCTATATTTTGGTCCAGCTAAGAGCAATGAAAGGAAACTCATGTTCTTGTGAAATGTAATCATGTATGAAAATCCACAGGTCTCAGTTGCACGCACACCCTTCCCACCACAGCTGATCCAAAAACATAGGCTGTTTGTCTGGAATAGCATGATGAAAGAAGAGTCAACTGAACCAGAAGCAATGTGCCATTCCAGGTTTATAACCTGCCTCTGCCTGATCTTTGCGTCCCACAAATCTTTCACAATGTCACATTTGGCAGAGTGTAGGACTTTCAAGTTTGCACAGGAGGTATACCCTCCTTCTGCCACATCTTAGAACACCAGGCCTGTATGAGTGGATCCTGTTCATGATTAAGATTAGGGGGTCACACTAGATGGCCTGGGAGGCCCCTTCTGACTCGCTGTTTCTAAGATATGGTATTAAAAAGGCATGCTGTACACCTCATGGCTTCACTCACGGCTGCAACAGCCTGCTCATATCAAATTATAGTCTGCCTCATCTACAAGCAAGCAGGATTTTCGGTTTTGCACAACTGCAAACTGCCTCGATAAGGGTTGAGGGGCATTGTGCAAACTGGCAGTGGGTAAGCCAGGCAACCTATTTTAGAGAAACTGCCTCTAGCAAAGAAAATAATCTGCTGCCACAAACATGGCAGTTGTGTACATAAATTGCCTCTTAGAACTGAGCTTTAACTGAACTTTAAGAGATGTTAGTCACCAGTTAATTTCTTTCCACTAAATGTTATACCATATGGTAAACAAACAGTCAAAATTAGACATTAGTTTACAGCTATAATGTTTCATTAGGGTTTATTTTGATATGGCTCCTGAAGTTTAAAAGACTTAGAATATGTTTTTAAACAGATCTGTTTTTCTTGCTACTTTGTGATTTATAGAATTGCAATTGAACTAGTGTTCTGCACAGTGTATTTTCTTATGTACTTCTTATATCAGTAAAGATTTACAGAGTACACAAAAACAAATATTACCTTTCACGCTCAACTCTGACAACCATCTCTGCAGACTATATTTATCTGTAAATCTATGGGTTGTATTATTATTAAGATTTAAGAGAAAAGGCCAGTCAAAGAGACAGCTTGGATATCAAAACATATTTTCTATTATCCTGGGAGAGAAGGCTTTCACTCAGCATGCTCCTGTTTGAAAGCTGCTGGTAAAGAAAATGCCTGCTGGGTGTGTTGGAAGATCTCTCTCCCTCCCCTTAGCTAGTTATTAAAAATGCAGATCTCTTGAAACAGGGTTGCAGCCCTGAGCAGAAAAAGAGTAGACTTGGATAAAAGAGGAAAAGAGCTATAGAGTGAAAAAGGCAATTCCAACAGCAGCTACCAACATAGCTAGTGAAAAAACCTTGTTAAAATAATAGTGTGGATTATTGTGTGATTGGCCATCATAGATAATAGAACATATGATCACGAGATGATGCATTGTCCGATGGATCAGGGCATGGTTGACAGACCACAAGCAGATGGTGACTACCAGTGAGAATCTCAGGATGGCAGCCAGTGATGAGCTGAATTCCTCAGGGCTGAGTTCTGGGACAGACTTTTTCCAATCTCTTTATCAATGACCTGGAGGATGGGGTAACCAGTCTGCTGACCAGATTTGCAGACAATACCAAAGTGGGGGCAGTGGCCACAATTGGGGAGCAGATGGATCTGGACAGACTGTAGAAGTGAGCAAGGAACAACAGGATGGCATTCAATGCAGATAAGTGCAGGGTCTTGCACTTGGGACTTAGGAACAGGTGCCATAGGTACAGAATGGGAGACAAGTGGCTGGAGAGCAGCACTCATGAAAAGAGATCTTGGGGTACTTGTTGATAGCAGGCTAAACATGAGCCAGAAGTATGATGCTGTGGTTAAGAAGGCAAACACCACCCTTGGATGTATAACCAGAAGCATGGCTTCCAGATCAAGAGAGGTGCTGGTACAGATCTATAAGACTCTGGTGCACCCACAACTGGAGTACTGAGTCTAGTTCTGGGCTCCTCCTTACAAGAGGGACATAGTAAGGTTAGAATCAGTTCAGCACAAGGTCACAAGGATGGTAGCCAGATTGAAGGATGCCATATGAGATGAGTTTGAGGGAGCTGGGTCTTTTAAGCCCAGAGAAGACTCAGAGGGGATCTTACAGCAACATACAGATATGTGAAGGGGTGTCACACAGTAGAGGGTCAGGAACTGTTTTCCCCTGCAATGGAAAAAGGACAGGGTCCAATGGGGAGAAGTTCAAGGAACTCGATTTCAGGTTGGATGTTAGGAAGTACTTCCTGATGGTTAGAACAGGCTAGGATATGGAATGGGCTTCCACAGGAGATGGGTGGGGACCCATCAGTGAGCGTGCTCAAGGACAGATTGAACAAGTACATACTGGATATAATATGAGTGAAGCCAGCTGGAGCCAAGGGTCAGACTAGATGGTCCAAGAGGTCCCTTTTGACTCACTATGTTTCTACATTTCTATAAGAAAAATCATGCTGGATCAGACCAACGGTCCATCCAGTTTGGCACTCCATTCACATTCCATTTGCACACCAGCTGTACACAGGATTGCACAGGCAGGATGTAAGCAAGACCTCTGCCTGTACAAGCTCTTCAGCACCTGATGCAAATAGGCATGCTGCCTGTGGTAACTGAGGCTGCACATTGCCTGCAAGGCTAGTAGCCATTGAAAGCCTCTTCCCTCATGAATCTGTCCAATCCCTTTTTAAAGCCATCCAGATTGGTGGCCATCACTTCCCATGGCAATGAATTCCATAGCTTAACTATACGTTTTGTTGAAGAAGTATGTCCTTTGAGCTGTCCTAAACTTCCCATCAATCAGCTTCATGGGATTACCCCAGATTCTAGTATTGCGCAAGAGGGAGTTTCAAATAAGCACCTAGCAACACTTCAAACAGGGTTCATTTCATACATAGCTGCATGTTAACAAAAGTGGTCCAGTAATTTTCAGAGGAGTGGCAGTGTTAGCCTGGTGCAGTACAAACTAGGAAGGCTTTGGTGCACCGTCTTACACAAAAGGCCTACAACTCTCAGCATTCTCCAGCCATCATGCTGGGGCCTACAGGATATTTTCTGTGCAAACATGCGTTGTATTGCAGCCATAAATGCTAACTGCTCAACGGAGGGTCACCAATTCCCTTCTTTTCGCATCTCCAGAACAGTTCTGAAGGGACAACTCATTCTTGCTGGTCTTCCTGTAATGACTTGGCTTCAGTTTTACTAGTAATTTCTAAGTTTTTAAAGTGTATTATTAATCTTTGTTTCTATAGATTTGTATTGAATATATATGCATCGATCTTCATTTTATCTCCACTGTATGTTTGCATCTTGTATGACACAAGTAGCTTTAATTAATTTTAAATAAAATAAAATGCATTTTGTGTCATAAGGTCTTGTAGACTAAAGTCCAACTGATCAGATGCATGGAGACTGAAGAGGAGACAAGTGACAGACATGCATGTGTGAATCCAATTCAGGATTCAAACATTCAGTTTTGTATTTCACAATAACAATAAAGCTTGAGAACATGAGGGGAGTTTGTTGTGAAATCTCAGGTGTATAGGAAAGCTACATAGCGCTCCTGTGGTCAAGTTTGCCATTGCCTCTCTCTCACAGTTACTGTTCCTATAGTCCTTCTTCATTCTTCAATCTTCCACAGGCAGGTATTGAATAAGCCACTTAGAAGCAGACAGGGAAATAGTCATCCAAAGCAGAACAAGCAAATTCATGTCCCTTGGATTAACTGATTAATTTGCGGACTTCCTGGAATCAGGGTTTCTTTGGAGAAAGGGTAATTAATGGAAGGTAGCCATGAATTAACTCAAGACACAGTTGTCCGTTGATTTATGATTTCACAGGAGCAAGTGCAAGGATGTTAAGTTTCACCAAGTTCAGCACTGTATACGCCTCACTTCCAGTGCCCTGGAAGACAAAACTTTAGCAGTTACTCACTCTATTTCAAACATTTTTACCCCACTGTTGAATTAAAAAGGCTCCCAGAAAAGTTTAGAAAAATTGACCCTCCCTGCATAAGATGTTCAGTTTTTAATGGTACAGTCTTAAAGGATGCAACACACACACACACACACACACACACACACACACACACAAAATGGTTGGAAGAAGGAAAAAAGGCGAAAGTAAACGTTCTTCTATCGGGTGTTGAACCTCTTTCATTCATTTCAAAGATGCGCTCGAGGAGAGAAAGTATTTCATGGTGGGCGGGGCCAAACAAAAGGGGTGGGGTTGATTTCAAAGGGCCAGCATACCGTAAGGTATCCGTATATTTTATCATAAAAGATCTCTAGTCCCGAAACGTAAATCTTGTAAGATCAACATAGCTGCCTATAACTCTGGGCTCTCCACGAGGCCGTGGGCGCGCGGAATGTCACAAATCCGTACACTTCCAACTGCAGCACTACGCCGCTGAGCGCGCATCAGCTGCGCCCAGGCCAGCCAGGCAAGGGGATCTACTGAATAGGAAAACTACTAGACCCCACCCCCTGGGGCGGGATCATCCCCCACCGGTGTCAAGAAATTTCTGTTGACTGGGTGCCCCAGTCTCTCCTCCCTAGGCCTCCCCTCCGCAGCCACATGCCAGTGCGCCTCCGACTTGCCAATCATCGCCCACGCCGATCTGGACCCACCGTCTTTCCCAGCGTGCCAGGATCCCTCCAGTTCGCTGCTTCTTGCAAAGCGGACCGGCTCGTCTCTGCCGCGCTTGCCTTGCAAAAACGAGCCGCACGCGGGGAGGACGGCGTGCGACTCCACCGGTAAACACGCTTGCTTGCTGCAGCTCGCGGTGTCTTACGGAGTTGTTTGCAGCGAGTCCCGCGCCCGTTGCCTCACAAGCCCTGAGATTTGTGCGCTCGCGCGCGCGTAGGCTGAACCGCTCCGCACAGTTTCCCCCCGCTTTGGGAAAAAGGAAGAACAAACACTTAGGTTCCTTGCTTTTGTTGGTGCTGCCGTTGCTGTTTGCTCTAGAACGGGCGAGAGAAAACTTTTAAAGCTCTTGTGTTGGACAAGGCGCTCTCCCGGAGCTGAGTGACAAATGGGCTTTTAAAGGGGCCAGTTGGATTAGCTGAGAGACAGAGCAAACCAGACCTCAGGGAAGGAAAAGAGGCCGCCTCTCTTGACCTGTATGGTGGAAGAGGAAGGACCGTTGCGGCTGCATTACTTAGGACCTGCCGCTGCCGCCGGGTGGACTTGGATGTGAGGATGGAAAAGAAAAACATGGATCACTACCTACGCCGTCTCAAGCAGGAGTTGGTAAGAACTGCCTGGGGAAAGGGGTTATAGTAAGAGGAACCGCGAGCAAATGTTGCACGTCCCCACGCGTGCACCCTTCACTTTCCGTCGCCTCGGTCTGCAACTTTCTAGCTGGCGGGGGTCAGTCCCTCCCCCGTGCGCCTGCTTTCCTGGGCTTTGTTAGAAATCTTGCAGCGCCCCTTCCCTTTGCAGCGGGGTGGCCTCCAGTTTTTCCCGCTGGGGAATTTGATAAGCCCCGCCTGAAATGAGATGGAGATCGGAAGGAAGATGAATTTCCCTCCCCCTCCCCCTTCAAAATCCATCACTGGAAATGGGTTCTTTCAAAATCTATTTGCGCATCTCAGCTCTCCCTGTGACATGAACGCTTAAATCCGGTTGACACTGATCGGTATTTATTTAACCCCTTTGGTACCGTGTGTCTTTTCACCCTGGTTCACCCAAGAGTGAGTCTTCATTGCTAGGATCCCTGAAACTGGCACATCCCTCACCTTTTTGCTATCCTTTAAAAGGATCTGCCTTCTTTTGTCTGAGTGTGACAGGCAAGTGGTGAACTTTGAAATCAGCTCAGACAGAGTGGGTCAGGAGCTTTGAAAGTGTCTGTCTAAACTGGCACCACATCACAACCTGTTCAGGCCTTCCTTCTACACATTCTTGCACAGTTAAATAATCGGGTGTAACAAACAAATAGCAACAACCTCCATTCTTTCATAACTTTACCTTATGTCTTTTCCATTCATTTTTTTCTCCTTGCTGGTATGGACTTGTCAGGAAGATTTCCAAAGCTCCCCTTTCCGTAAACCAGTCATTTTCTCTTTCAGTAGCCCTGATCTGAATCCATCCATCCTTCCTTCCTTGTTTTGTTTTTTCTTTTTCAGAACACAGATGTGGGCTGCATAATCTCTCCAGGCACTTTGTTTGCCAGCCACTTCATTTAATTACAGGGGTGCTTACAAATCTTCTGTTGGCACTTTTGAGATGGATGATTTCCCATTAGCTCTTTCTCATAATCGTCCCCCCCCCCTTTTTTTTTTATTTTTGGTTTCCTATTCTACAATTTTCCTAATAGTACAGTTCAAGTATTTCCATTCTCATGCAAAATAGCTGCTTATGGCCCAGTTATGGAAAAAGAATCCTGTGAAGAAATGTCAAAGCTTACCTGGTATTTGCATCTACAAACCTTGAAATGCTAAAAGTTATTAACCTTCACATCTGCCACTGGAGATTACCTTTATTACTATTCCCATTTTACAAATGAAAATCATCGGGCTTCACAAGCCACGTGATTTGGATCTAGTTCTTTCAAGCTACGCTCTTTGCTGGCAAATTTCTCCACTGCTTACTCTATAATATTTAGATTACATTTTATTCTAATGCACTTCTAGAGTAATGCACACAGGAATCCTGGTAAAATTCCATAAAAGAGTGATGTGTGAGCAATGACGTAGCTTGTACTACAGTTTCCCATTTATGCTGCCTTCTACCTTGCTAGTGGAGACCCACCCTTATTTCTTGCAGTGACAGCTGACATCTTCCCAGTCACTTGCAGTTCCCTACCTGTGTCTTGTCACTGCCTGATCACTGATACAAATTCAGACTGATTTATGCAGCTGGAGGGAGGCCAGTTAGCAAGAATTTTCTCCACCCAGACTATCCCCTTAAGGGCTTAGTAGCACTACTTTGCAAAATCCTACATGTTTTATTTTGAAGTGCTATCATTGTGTTATTTCTTTAAACCTTCTGATGCCCTGTTGGTTTACAATACCCTTTTCTGGGGTGCTTTTACAACAGCCCTATGAGGTGGATCACCCATTAACTAATTACTGTCTTCAGCAGTGTTCCTCCAATCTCACACACCCCAGGTGTTTGGAACTGCAAATTCCATAATTCCCAGCCAGACTGAGGAAAACTAATCTAGAGACTGATAACCAAAACCCACCCAGTGAGATAGTAGGGTGAGTTGGAGGTTAAGTTCCTACCTCTCAGATCTAAGGATAATCCCTAAATGACTAGACTGCACTGCTTTTAAAAAAAAGAAATAAAAGGATCCCAGTTATTACTTCAAAACTTAACTGGAAGCCAATGTCCTTTTGGGCACAGACAGATGAATGTGATACTAGATCTGAATGTTAACGTTCTTTCATGTCTCTACACACCATTGTTCAGACAAAAGTGTTCGTAGCTGTGACACGCTTGGACTTGCCCACCAGCAGATGTGTCTTTCTGATGCCCTCGTTTTTGTTCTAATGGATTAGTAATGAAGAACTGGGATGCCTTTAAATAAAACATTTGAATCATTCAGTGAAGAACTCAAAAGGCTAAGAAAAGAGGAAGGCAAGGAAGAGATGCATGTGTCACATGTGAATAAATAATAGCAATTGCTGGTTTAAAGAAAAATGAAAAGAAAGGTCATGCAAGAGTCAAAATGATAGGAAGAACTTTGGAATACAAAAGTCTCCTTTACATCTAGAAGATGACTATCAGCATAGAACGAAATGCAAATATAGCCAGGTTAGGGTTAAGACCCAGGTTAGGGTTAGGGTTAGAAAAACCAAGGACACTGTAATTCTATTGATGATTCGAACATGTTCAGGATGGGCAGATAGAATGAACTATGCAGAAAGGCATGGCGAAAGTGGACATTTTGGATCTCCATCCTGAGGCATGGTTATTTTATTTCCATATTAGAGTTTGGGTGAAGGCCTAGGCTATGATTAGTATCAGTGGTATGGTGGTATAATTTTCCCATTGATTCCAGTGAGTATACTCCAGTTTATTCCACTTTAGCCATTTGTTCTCCAAAATAGTTCTGGGGCTAAGATTTGCTAGAAAACACCTATTTGCTTCACAAATCTGCAGTTCCCAGAATGGTTTCTCCATCAATCTGTCTTCCCCAAGAACTCTGGAAACTTAGGGATAGCTGTCCACTAATGACACTCAGGACTGCAGGTGGCGCAGTGGTTTAAACCGCTGTGCTGCTGGGCTGGTAGATCAAAAGGTCACCGGTTCGAATCTACACAATGGGGTGAGTTCCCGTTGCTCTGTCCCAGCTCCTGCCAACCTTGCAGTTCGAAAGCATGCAAATGCAAGTAGATAAAAAGGTACCACTTCGGTGTTCCGTGCACTTTGGTGTTTAGTCATGCCAGCCGCATGACCACGGAGACTGTCTGCGGACAAACGCTGGCTCCCTCAGCTAGGAAATGGAGATGAGCACCACCCCCTAGAGTCAGGCATAACTGGACTTAAATGTTATAACTGTGTGGGATGAATGCAGCAGCAATGGGAGGTAGTTTTTGGAGCAGCAAAAACAACATGTTGCTGAGGAGCAGAGGCTGACCATGAGGAAAGTATCGGAGAAAACACATGTGCATGCCTGGCATACCTCACTGGATAGATAGCTCCTAGGAACTATTGGGAACTGTTGAAACAACACCCTTGTTCTTAACCCATTAAATTCAGGACACTGACACAATGGAAGTGCCAGTCACAAGCCAGCAATGTAAGTAGGCTTCACTGAACCCCAAAGGCTCCCTCAAGTGCAATCATGGATGGGGTAGAAAAACCGCTGAGTCTGTTCAGGCTTCAGACATGATCAGGATGGGGAAGAAAAAAATGACCTATGCGGAGCTCCAAAACCAGCATGGGAACCCTTGTTTATGTAACCCTAACCCTACCTTGGCCCTTAACGCTAACCCTAAAAAAGGGACTGAAAAACCAGTGCCAGAGCTGGTTTTTCTGCAGAGCTCATTCTTTTTGCCCATCCTGAACTCATCATAAGCCTCAAGATATATTTGGGAACCTTCGTTTTTCTAATCCTAACCCTAGTCTGACCCTTAATCCTAACCAGAATAAGGGGCTGAAATAGGCATGCCTCCATTCAGAATTTGAAAGTGATGTGCAGAAAAACATCCACTAGGGGGGCATTTCGGAATCCCCTATAAAGGCATTTGTATTTCACCCCCCTTTTATGGTTAGGGATAAGGCCCATGATTAGGGTGGGTATGGACAAACCAAGGACCTGTGATCCTGTTGGGGCTTCGAATGTGTACTGCACGGGCAGACAGAACAAGCTGTGCAGAAAAACATCCACTAAAGGGCCATTTTGGAAATCCGTCCTGAAGCATGTGTATTCCATGCTCTTATTAGAGTAAAGCCACATATTAGCATTAGATATAGAAAAACTCATGACCCTGTGATGCTGTTGAGGCTTGGAATATATGCAAGATGGGCAGGAAAAAATGAGCTGTGCAGAAAAGCATCTAGTAATGGGACATTTTTGAAATCTTTCCTGAGGCATATGTATTTAAGCCTTGCATTAGGGTTATAGGTGTAAGCCCAGGGTAGGGATAGGTATAGAAAAACCAAGCTTTCAAGATTTGGACCATGTTTGGGCTGTGCGGATAAGTTCAATTGTGAGAAAATCATCCAGAAAGGGAACAGTTTGGAAATCTATCCTTACGCATGTGTATTTGAATCCCTTATTAGGGTTCGGGTCATTTCCCAGGGTAGAGTTAGAGTGATGCTGTTGACCTTTAAAACCGTCCTTCTTGAAAGCAGTCACTTTAGTTGCATTTACACACACACACACTGCACGGATGCTGTCTGCTGGTTTGCATTAACATCTCAATCTGATCCCATCTGCCCAGATGTAACGTTCACTGAATTGAATTGGCCTTGCTGCCAAGTATGTATTGCAGGAGTATGAACCTTCAGGAAGACCAAGAACCAGTTTCTGCCCACTCCTCCCACTGGTGCCTCATGGAATTCCATGGCCCTGTGGAGCAGCGCATGTAAGCTATGGGCCATGTGATACTCAGCTCAATATACAGATTGTAGTACTTTATGGAGCATCCCTATACTGGTGCTCCCCCTGATGTGTTGAACTACAAATCCCATAATCTCCTAGTACAAATCCTAGGAGCTGCAGGGTACCAGGTTAGGGAAGCTTGATATAATCACATTAATCTAAGACTGGAGATACACTGCCTGCAGAAGGCCTGCTA